TGCGTCGGCCGGGCCGGCTCGGGCCCAAGGCGGCCCGCCCCGGGGCCCCCTTTTCGCAACTTTGCCTTCCTTGCGGTGGCTGGGCGACCTTGCCACCTTGCCTGTGTGGCCGGGGGGGGGGGGGTTACCGGGAAGTGTGGAGTGGACCTTGCCGTCGCCTGCGGCGCACCGTCTTCGGACTCGGCCAGTGTTTCGACGGGGCATCGCTACCAGTGTAGCTACTGAGTGTCGGTGTTCCGCTGACCCCATCATCGTCTTTAGATAGATGCATCTTCTCTTCAGCTTATCCTCACTCGCCTGAGACTAAACGTGAGCCCCTCCCTACTCAATAGGTCGCGTGGCCCCCGATGCCGTGTTCGCCCCGCCGTTCCTGGAATCTCTTTCTGGAGCGGAGTGAGCTCTGGAGCAAGTGCGTGCCGAGGACGAAGCGGCCAGGGCCAGGCTACTCGCCGCTCTCGCGCCCTTGTGGACCGCCCCGTGAGTGCGACAGAGACAGAGCGACGAAAGCCCTGTGCCGGTAGGCACTGGGCACACACCGAGGCTCCGCCTTGGCTCCGCGCTCCTTTCGTGTCCCATGATAACCAGCCTTGTTAATTTTCAAGTGGTGTGGTCCCCGCCTCTGCCGACCGCGCCCGCCGCCCCCTCCCCCTTCCCTTTCACTTCATGACCTCCTCCTGGGCCTGGGGAAGCACCTGGGACCTGCGACCTGGGCGGTGCGGAGTGCAGGACGTGACCCTGACTGAATAAGGCAAAGGGATGAAAAAAGTTCTAGGCGGGGCGGGGCGCGGCTGTGTGTGTGTGTGTGCGTGTGTGTTTTGGCGCGCGACCTTGCATTCCCGTTAAAGTTCCCGCCCCGCAGATGCCCCGGACGAACTTTTCTAAACTCGTCTAAATATTCCGGCGAGGCCCCCCTCCCTGTCGCCGCCCTTGTTCCGGCGGCGGCGTCGTCGAATTGTTATCCCGGTGGTTGGCGACGAACGCGGCCCGCGATGCGCTGCGGCTGGACGGCCGGACGCGGTGCGCGCCGCGACGGGCGACTTCGTGACGGTGGGCCAGAAGACCGGTGCAGGCGGACAAAATTCTAGACGCTTTGAGAGCTCCAGAGTCACTAAATGGGACTCGAACCGAACGTGTGACCCCACCAATAGATTGCTCTCCGAACGAGGAATCCATTGGTGGGGTCACACGCTCGCTTCGAGTCCCATTTAGCGACTCTGGAGCTCAAAACGCGTCCGGGGTTTTGACCGCCTCCGCCGGCCTTCTGGCCCACCGTCACGGCGTCGCGGCGCGTCGCGGCGCAACGCGGCGTTGCAGTGCGACGTGACGGGCCAGTTTGGCCCAAAGTTGCGCCAGTGTAACGAGCTGGCGGACTACTCGGGCATTTAGGGAATGCCGCGTCGTGGCTGCCCCCTCCCCCTGCCCCCTCCCCTCCCCCGCCACGCCCTTCGCCTTATCGCGGCGACAAGTCGCGATGCGCTGTTTTGTTTTGCTGCGATTCCGGGTTGTGTCAGGCGCGCTGTGACTCAGCCGCTCGTCGGCGGGGGCGTGGGAGGGGGAAAGGGGGGGGGGCTTGTTTTCCCTTTCATGTGGCCGCCGCGCCCCGCGCTTCGGAAGAACACACACACACGCACAGTCACACACGTACATGATGGATGGCCCGGCCGGCCCGGCAGCGCGTCGACGGCGAGGTGCATTATGGATGCAGCGGAGACACGGCGCGGCCAGCGTCTAGGCCTTCGCCGGCACGCCGAGGACCGCTGTGGGAGGGGCGGGGCTTGCCGCCGGAGGAGGCTTGATCAGACGGATTTTTGGAGCCATTTTCCAGTGGCGACGCTCGGCGAAGAACCGACTCGTGCGGAATTTATTTTTAGCCGGCGGGCTCGACCTGTAGACTCTGAATGGTGTAGGCTCTCTGCGATCTCCCCCTCCCTCCCCGGCGGAGACAGTAAGTCTGCGAGCGTCGGCGACCCCTGGCCGCGGTCGTCCACCCCAAGCCGCAAGCCGCCCCCTGGCTGAGGCATGACTCCTTGAAATCGAGAAAATGGTGAGGTTACGGTCCCGTGGCCCCCTGGCCGGGCGGTGGCCGGGCGGGGCCGTCCCGCTGCGTGGCTTGCATGTGTGAGTAGGTGAGGCCGACCGGGGCGGGCCGGCGCGGTGGGCGCGGTGGCGGCGGCAGACACGCGGCACGCGCACAGTGGGCCAGAATACCGGTGGAGGCGGACAAAACTCTAGACGCGTTTTGAGCTCCAGAGTCGCTAAGTGGGACTCGAACCGAACGTGTGACCCCACCAACGGATTGCTCTCCGAACGAGGAATCCATTGGTGGGGTCACACGTTCGGTTCGAGTCCTGTTTAGCGACTCTGGAGCTCAAAACGCGTCTAGAGTTTTGTCCGCCTCCACCGGTCTTCTGGTCCACTGTGACGCGGCGGCAGACACGCACTCTCCGAAGGAGTCCTCGCCGCAACGCACAGGTTCCCCTGATTCGAGCCCGACTGACGCCCAAGTCGCGATGCGCCTGCCGGCGCGGCCTGTCTACTGAAGAATTCATCTCCAATTCCATTTTCCTTTGTTGCGCCGTGGGCGAGGGCGGCGGCGGCGAGTCTTGTCGTTTTCGGAGCGGACGTTGTCTTCGGGAAGGAAGTGCCGTGCCATTCGGCGCCCGTTCCGTTTGCACAACGCGTTCGCCGCAACGCCGCAACGCGCTGCAGTGCGCTGTCCAGCAGCGCCGCGGTGGGGCGTGGGCTGGGCCGGCCGGCCGCCATGCCCGTTCCGAACCGTGCTCTAGTCGCTCTGTCTCTCTCGCGCCCGCACGGCGTGCCGCAGGAGTGCGGGAGAGACAGAACATCGGGCCCGTCGTAGCGCTGATTGCTGACGTCACTCACGGCGATAATGCTTGATGCTGATAACCTGGCGGCACGGAATGGCACGGCGCGCCCCGCGCAGCGCAGTGCCGAGCACGCCGCGCACCCGCCATCGACTTCGAGGTGGCACATTTAAATAAATTTATTTTCAGAGGTTTTCATTCTTCTATAATTGTGTTGTAATAAAAGTGCCGTTGCCTGCCGGCCTGGCCTGCCTACACTGGCTCGGGCGTTCCGCAGGGCCGCGCGCCACGCGTCCCCGAGGCGCCGACACGGCCACTCTCGCCGCACGCACAGTGGGCCAGAAGCCGGCGGAGGCGGCCAAAACTCGAGACGCGTTTTGAGCTCCAGAGTCGCTAAATGGGACTCGAACCGAGCGTGTGACCCCACCAATGGATTGCTCTCCGAACGAGGAATCCATTGGTGGAGTCACACGTTCGGTTTGAGTCCTGTTTAGCGACTCTGGAGCTCGAAACGCGTCTAAAGTTTTGGCCGCCTCCACCGGCTTCTGGCCCACTGTGGCACGCCGCGCCCGCTGCGCACCGCGCGTGCCGTCGGCGTGCTATGCCATGGCTATGCCGAGGATGAGCCCCGTCGCGGTGCTGCGCGGTGCCGGCGGGGCTGCCCTCGGGACACGCTCCGATTCGCCGCGGAAGGGCACGTCCGCTATGTGGCACGTCCACGAACCACCACCGCGCAGCCGCGCAGCCTGTTCGCGCACTGGAAAAACTGGCGTTGAAGTACACCGGCAAGAGCAGCGCGGGCGTGGGTTAAAACACAATGCGCGGACTGGGTTTAATAATTTGAGCGGTATCCTTTTAGCCGGAGCAGCAAACTTTTAGCCGGGGTAAATTTAGAATGCACGTTGCCCGGGCTCTCCGGTCTCCAGGTAGCCGGCCGTGGTTTAATTATGGCCGCTGTGCTGCCCGGGCTGGACTGGCCTGGAACACATCCTGGGTTAAAAACGGCATCGTTATTTGCAGGCGACCTGGTCGCGCTCCGGAGCGCCTGCGAACTCGAGGGTAGGCAGTCCTGCAGAACACGGGTGTGTCGGATTGCCTACCCAGCAGGCGTTCGAGAAAGCGCCTGCGATCTCGAGGGTAGGCAGTCCTGCAGAACACGGGTGCGTCGGATTGCCTACCCGGCAGGCGTTCGAGAAAGCGCCTGCGAACTCGAGGGTAGGCAGGCCTGCAGAACACGGGTGCGTCGGATTGCCTACCCGGCAGGCGTTCGAGAAAGCGCCTGCGAACTCGAGGGTAGGCAGTCCTGCAGAACACGGGTGCGTCGGATTGCCTACCCGGCAGGCGTTCGAGAAAGCGCCTGCGAACTCGAGGGTAGGCAGTCCTGCAGAACACGGGTGCGTCGGATTGCCTACCCGGCAGGCGCCCGGCCGTGGACGGTGCGGTGCAGCTGAGTGGCGTGAGGGTGCCCTACGCCCTGTGTCAATTGCTAAATTGCGACCCAGATATGAATGACCGCACCGCCGTGCCGCCACGCCGCCACGCCCGCTGGCTCTGGAAGGGGGAGGACGCGGCACAGTGGGCCAGAAGCCGGTGGAGGCGGCCAAAACTCCAGACGCGTTTTGAGCTCCAGAGTCGCTAAATGGGACTCGAACCGAACGTGTGACCCCACCAATGGATTGCTCTCCGAACGAGGAATCCATTGGTGGGGTCACACGTTCGGTTCGAGTCCCGTTTAGCGACTCTGGAGCTCAAAACGCGTCTAGAGTTTTGGCCGCCTCCACCGGCTTCTGGCCCACTGTGCGCGGCCTGACCCTGCCGTCCCGCCCGGCCTCGCCCGGCCTCGCCCAACGCAATCAGCGAGGCCGTCGTCCTTCTGCCCTTGTTTCCATGACTTTATCGCGCATCCGTTACCGCGGCGTGCCTCTGGGCTCGCTTCTAGGCGTCGCGGTGCAGGTGCGACACGCGCCCGGCCGGCCTGGCCGCCCTGGCCGCCCCACCCCAGCGAGGCGTCACGCTAACGCCCGCCCGTCGACCGCCGCCCCACCCGGCCACTCTGCCGCCGGCGATACTCCGCGCGCGAAGGCGGTCTGCGGGTCGCGGGGTAGCGCGGCGGCTTTGTGTATTGACATGGATTGGATTGCGATTTGTGACGTTTCTTTTCTCGCTGCCCGCCAGGTGGAGTCTTGCCGGCGGTACCAGAGGGTCGCACCCGGGCTGGGCGCCGCCCCCGCGGCCCCTGCGGCCCCCGCCGCCCCCAGCGTGCACCGCCCCCAGTCGCCGCCGCCGCCGTCACCCGGGCAGGAGGCGGCGCGGCTGCTGCCGGCCGGCTGGGCCGAGTTTCGGACGACGGACGGACGCTCCTTCTATTATCACGCGGGCACGGGACAGCGGCGGTGGAAGCCCCCGCGGCGGAGAGCGCGACAGGTGAGGCTGTGTGCGTCTGTGCGCGTCTGTGCGCGTCAGCGATGAGGGTTTCCAGTGTCGGCAGGAAGGTAACTTAGTTTTGGAGTTGCCGTCGATGCCGCGGAATGTGGACCTGGTTTCCGCGGTCGGAAGGGACCGCCGTGATCACCGAAGGCTGAATCCCAAACGGTGCCTCTGTGTCCTCATGCTTGGCGCACTCGGCCTGCTGCAGGACTCGGGGCGGTCGGCCAGCTCCAGCCCCCAGCACGGCGACGAGGCCGACGGCGAGGACTGCGACCTGGAGCTGCCCCCGGGCCCCGCGCCGCTGCCCCACGGATGGCGGGCCGTCATGGACCAGAGCGGGCAGCTGTGCTACGTCCACCCGCACCACGGCGCCAAGGTGAGTCCGAGCAACTACGCGCAACCGCGTCGCCCTGAGGCGGGCAATGGGCATGCCCTTCCCCTCCTCCCCCTCCCCTTCTGCCATTAGCTCCTTGGTTACCGCACCCGAAGTGTGGACAGCGAAGAAGAAGAACAAAGTCAGCGAAGCAAGAGTTCCTTGAGAGAAGACCGCGTTTTTCTGGGGCATTTACCGTCCAAGTGTCATTCTTCCAGCAGCCCTTCCGTTGCGCTAGGCTAAGTTTGTGTCCATGCTGCAGGGGTTTGTTTGCGCGTCCCTCGGGTCTTGTTCTGACAGTCAACTGCAGGCAGCGGTCTCGTCCTCCCCGCCCAACTTCGGAAGGTGCCAGCCTGGCTTCAAGAGCGAGGCGGCAGGAAGCAGGAAGAGCGCTCCGCACAGTGGGCCAGAAGACCGGCGGAGGCGGCCAAAACTCTGGACGCGTTTTGAGCTCCAGAGTCGCTAAATGGGACTCGAACCGAACGTGTGACCCCACCAATGGATTGCTGTCGGAACGAGGAATCCATTGGTGGGGTCACACGTTCGGTTCGAGTCCCATTTAGCGACTCTGGAGCTCAAAACGCGTCTAGAGTTTTGGCCGCCTCCACCGGCTTCTGGCCTGGCCCACTGTGCTCCGTCGAGACCAACAGCCCGCAACGCGCCGCAGCGCCGAGACACCAGGCAACCCAACGTACTCCTGCCGGCGATGGCGCGCCTAGGCCAGCAGGCAGCCCAACCAACCCAAGAGCACCCACTGCATCCCGCAATTCGGAAGACTCTCCTCCTCGGCGCCGTGGTGAAGGCGTCTGTCGTCGTCGTTGGCGGTTCGGTTGTTGTTGGACCTGCACGGACACGCGTCCGGCCTGTCGAGATTGCCATCAGTGTCAATGTTTGTTTTTGTCTGCCGCCGAGTGGCCGAGCGCCGCCTCTCTCTCCACCGCCACCCCGGCCTGCTTTCGGCCCTCCCTGGCGCACAGTGGGCCAGAAGACCGGTGGAGGCGGACAAAACTCTGGACGCGTTTTGAGCTCCAGAGTCGCTAAACAGGACTCGAACCGAACGTGTGACCCCATCAATGGATTGCTCTCCGAACGACGAATCCATTGGTGGGTTCACACGTTCGGTTCGAGTCCTCCTCAGCGACTCTGGAGCTCAAAACGCGTCCAGAGTTTTGTCCGCCTCCACCGGTCTTCTGGCCCACTGTGTGGCGCCCCGGGGCCCCGGGGCCCCGGGCCTGCCCCCGGCATCCAGTGAGTGACTCACTGCTCGCGTTTGCTTTGAGCATCGCGAGGCTTGTTTGGGCCGGCGGCCGGCGGGGCGAGGTTGTCTGCGGTGAGGTTGTCTGCGGTGGCGGGCCGGAGAGATGCGCGTCGACGGGGTGCTCTCTTTGCCGCTCGCGTCCCCAGCCCCTGCCGGAATCGCGACTACTCCGCGCTCGAGGTCCCACCTTGTGGACGGGACTGTACCTGTGCGCGCGGGGTACCGACGACTTGGTTGTGCCTCGACGTCGGCACGGTCGCGGAGCTTGCGGCCTTTCCGCCGCTTCGCAGCCCCGGGGCACAGTGGGCCAGAAGACCGGTGGAGGCGGCCAAAACTCTAGACGCGTTTTGAGCTCCAGAGTCGCTAAATGGGACTCGAACCGAACGTGCGACCCCACCAATGGATTGCTCCCCGAACGAGGAACCCATTGGTAGGGTCACATGTTCGGTTCGAGTCCTGTTTAGCGACTCTGGAGCTCAAAACGCGTCTAGAGTTTTGGCCGCCTCCACCGGTCTTCTGGCCCACTGTACGGGGTCCGATTCCGAACTGTGCCTTGGTCGCTCCGTCTCCCTCGCACCCGTGCGACGCCCCCAAGAGTGCGAGAGAGACGGAGCGACTCCGTCCGGAATGCGTCGGCTGCGTCGGAAGCGGGGCGACTTTAAAAGTTATTTCGGCTTATCTCGGTGTATCTAAGGCCAACACGTGCCGCGGCGGTGCAGGCAGCGCAGCTCGCTGTCCGTGCAGACTGCGTTCAACAAGTCATTATATTTGGCCAGGGAGGCATGGTGCCTGCAGGCATGCCGGGGCTGGCCGCGCTCGCTGCTGGCCCGCCTGGTCCTGCCCAGCTGATTGGCGCTGGACAGTGCAGGCTGCAGGCCTGGTCGCTGCAGAGTGCCGCTCACTTTGATGGAGGCGTGCAGTGTGCACTGCGAGTGGAGGGGCGCTGCACAGTGGGCCAGAAGACCGGTGGCGGCGGACAAAACTCTAGACGCGTTTTGAGCTGCAGAGTCGCTGAACAGGACTCGAACCGAGCGTGTGACCCCACCAATGGATTCCTCGTTCGAAGAGCAATTCATCGGTGGGGTCACACGTTCGGTTCGAGTCCCATTTAGCGGCTCTGGAGCTCAAAACGTGCCTAGAGTTTTGGCCGCCTCCGCGGGTCTTCTGGCCCACTGTGCGCTGCTGGCGGCTGCAGGGCTCTGCAGTCTGCCGGCCGAAGGGCTGGGCTCTGTTCAGAGTGAACCGCGCGCCCGAGTCCAATCTGCAGTCCTCACAGGGTGCTTTCGCCATTGGCCCCGCTTGGGACAGTGCGCATGCCTTATCATCGCGCAGGGCGGCTCATCTTTTAATTTGGTTCCATTTGGGGAACGGGGTCAGCTCTTTCACTCACGGACGGCAGTTGGCTGCGCCAGGGGGATTCCGGATTTTCCGCCGAAATTACTTTAACTGGAGACGCCAGAGTGCTGTTTCGTTTTCTGGTCGGCACGCGTTTGCTGGAGCCTGTCCGAGCTTGTATTGTTATATCACGTCGACTGCTTGGCAGCGGATGCAGCGGGGCGTGCGCTGGTAAAAAAAAATATCCTGACCGTTACACGGTGAAAATGAAGTCTGTTGCGCAAGTTGCCGAAGAAATTGCGCCCAAACTGCGTTAAGGTTCTATTAGCGGATGGGTAGGGAAAGTTTCCATGGACATTGATATGAAAGAGGTGGGGAGGGCTAGTGTCTTCTGCTGCGCTTAGTGCGTGCGGCCGTGGCTGGGCTGGGCTGCGCTGGGCAGGGCCGACTCAGTCGAGTGTGAACATGCGAAGCCGCCCCCGCGCACCCACGCCCCGCCCCGCCCCGCCCCGCCCCGCCCCGCCCCGCCCCGCCCCGCGTGGTCCAGCTCATGAGGACGTTAATTGAGCTCGTTACTGCGTTATACAGGCGGCACATCCCAACTCGGATGCCCCGCCGGGCTGATTTCGAACAGTGCCCCGTCGCTCTGTCTCTCTGACGCCCCTTGCGGGACGCCCCGTGAGTGCGAGAGCGACAGAGCGACGCACAGTGGGCCAGAAACCGGCGGAGGCGGCCAAAATTCTAGACGCATTTTGAGCTCCCGAGTCGCTAACCAGGACTAGAACCGAACGTGTGACCCCACCAATGGTTTCCCCGTCCGGAGAGAAATCCATTGGTGGGGTCACACGGTCAGTTCGAGTCCCATTTAGCGACTCTGGAGCTCCAAACGCGTCTAGAATTTTGGCCGCCTCCGCCGGTTTCTGGCCCACTGTGCGACGAAAAGCGCTGTTCGGAATAGCAGGTCTCAGCGGAGCCCTTCCATGAACACTGTCACACTGCCACCCGGTCCGGCTCAAGCTCAACCTTGAGCCCTTAACGCCGGAAGCCTCACCCCCTGCGCGTTTAGTCGCAGCTTACCTCGCTAAATCAATTTCCACCCCGACATCATCAAGGCCCTGCGCGCGGCCCGGAGGCCCCGGCGGGGTGCGATGAGTCACCGTCGCACCCTCAGCCTGCTTCGGGGCCTCGAGCTGGACTCGAGGTGGACTCGACAGGGGAACGCGGCCCAGTGCAGTGCAGCGCAGTGCAGCGCAGTGCAGTGCAGTGCAGCGCAGTGCAGTGCAGCCCAGTGCAGCCCAGTGCAGTGCAGCGCAGTGCAGCCCAGTGCAGTGCAGCGCCTGGGACTGTCGCCGCTTCACGGCGCTGTCACTTGGACCCTCTCTGACCCTTCGGCGGGGACCCCGATGCGCTGCGCGCTGCGCGCTGAAGCGTCCGAGGCGTGGCCGGCCGCGGCTGCACTGGGATCGGGATGCACCTGCTGCGGGCGTGGCGGCCGTCCAAAAGCGTAGCGCTGTTGCGCGCACACACACGCACTCACACACACACACACACACACACACACACACACACACGCACGCACTCACATGTGCTCAAGCTGCGCGTCGCGACGCCACCGGAAGACGTGTCCTCTCCGCGGTGCTTCGCCTTGCCTCGCCGTGCTCCGCGCCGCGTGAGTGGGCAGGCCGGGCAGGCCCACAGGCCCCACAGGCCCCACAGGCCAGGGGCAGCCGGAGGGGCGGGCGAGCCGAGCCGAGCCTCCGAATGGAGATTGGACGTGCGACGACGCGCAATTATAGTGTTGCCAATGCGCCTGGTCGGCTGGCGCGGCCCGTCCTTGGCGCAGCGCGCGGCAGATCGCTTCATTTGTTTACGTCTCGATTCGCGGCGGCCAGCCCCGGCCAGCCCGCCGGCCACCACGGCCACGGGCACGGCGCCGGCCTTGACCAGGTTCCGCCTTTTTCCCGCCATCGGGAATAAATAGACGGAGGGGCGGTCACGTGACACTCATCGGCTGCGGCAGCGTGAGTGGACTCCGCCCCCGCCGGTCCCCGCCGGCCGGAGTCACCGTCGCCGTCGGCGGTGGCGGGTGTCCGCGATGCACTCGGTCTTGCAGTGCAGGAGCCGGGGGCAGCCCAGTCGGCATCGCGCCAGAGGCAGCCAGAGGCCGGCGCCCGCCCCAGCAGGCCAGGCAGGCCCTCGGGCAGGCCGTCAGGAAGCTGGGAGGGCCGAGAGCAGACGCCCAGATGCAGCACACTGCTGCACGCTGCAGCACCAGCGTGCCGGTGACGTCACTGGCCCGTCATTTGTGCTGCCAGAGGTCCTGGCGCCCCGCCGGCCCGCGCCACGCCCTGTCCGTCAGCCGCTCTGGACACGGCGGGGTGGCGGGGCGAGGCGGGTGGCGGCCTGGTCG